ATATATATATATATATTTATTTATTTATTTATTTATTTATTTTGAGCTAAAATGCGCCGAATACGAGCGAACGAAGGGATGTTTGTGTTCGACTTGTTTACAATTCGAGCTTTAAAAACTTGTTCGTGTTTGGCTCGTTTGTTAACATAACGAGCCGAACATGAGTTGTTCGTGAACAACTAGTTTTTTTGACAGCCCTAATTAGAGTAGTATTTGGGTGATATTAGAGTGAAATTTGGATGAAATTGAGGTTATCTATTGTGTCTTCCCGCGCACATTGAACAAATGAACTTTATTAAAATATGTATGTTGTATATGGCTCAAATTTTAGGCATGAAATAATACATTGAACAACTGGAGCAAAATAGTCATGAAGAAAAACATTTCTTGAATAAAAATTGTTTATACATCTAAGAAACTAAACACTAAATGTCTTATTTACCTTAAAACTCCTTGAGTGCTAGTTTTTTTCCCATTGTTTCTCCCACTTTATCCCTTTGGCATCTCATGAGAACCCTAAAAATTATGTAATGAGTTTATGTGATTTCGGCTGATAAACGAAAAGCTTACTAGCTCAAAACCGAGAGAAGAAATCATCATAGCGAAGCTCCTTCGACCACCTCAGATGCTCGGGCAACGAAGAGACGATAGTCGATGGCGAAACAAAAACTGTATAACAAAAAACACAAATAAATGCGTGATATGGGTTCTTGAATAGTCTGATTTTTTCCATCAAATTTTAGGTTTGGTTTCGGGCTAGCTTCCGCCGCCGCCGCCGAAAAAGACCCTTTTTCACCTATTTATTTAATGTCATAAGATGGGTCCATCTAAACAAATAAATGTCTCGATATCACTAGAGTTCTGACGCAAAATTACGTCCGGACTCCAGATGTAATATATAGATGTTAGACATATGTAACAAGATTAGAATTTTATTTTAAAAAAAAAATAAAAATAAAAATAAAAAAGAGACCAGATTTAGAACAGGTCCTCCCCTTACTGTCCACATCCTCTAATTATCATTAATTAAATCCAAGGGCTGCTGCCATGAAGAAGCTAACAGCTGCGTCTCTTGAAAGTCTCTTAGTTTCCTCATTAAGTAAAAAAGCAAAGCTGGAACCCCATGAGACGCTGATCATACGCTGCAGGTTCATTTCACTTTCCTCCTTCACTCTCTCTTATAAATAAATCCATATATGTTCTCTTCATATATACGAAAAATTATTGCATACGGACACCGCATGCAGAGAACCGTAGGTGAGTATGTATTTCGGTGGGCCCCACTTTAAATTTTTTTTTTAAAAAAAAGAATTTGATTGCATCCTCACCGTAGATCACAGTGATCTAAGGTGTAGATCGGACACCGCATGCATCTCTGCATGCAGTGTCTGTATGCAATAATTTCTCGCATATATACATTTCCATCTCTTCAATTAATTACAATTTTTTTTTTATTTTTGCATTGATATCCGTATTGCAGTTACCCAAATTGATCTTCATGTACAGACAACTCTTTCTTTATTATTTATTGTTTATTATAAATAAGTATTTAAGCTTATTTTATTATTTTATGTAATATCTTAATAGAATATTTTTAATGTTATTGCTATTCATTTAGAAAGGTGGTGGGAGCTTATTTTGTATCCATGTGGGTTTGGATAACAAAGTTTTCGCGATTTGGCGTAGTTTTTTCACGGTTGTGCGGCATGAAAAAGTGATTCATCGCATTTGTTTTCCACGATGTGGGTGCGTTTGAATAAGCACGCCCTTATTTTTACGCAATCTGTAGTTTCACTTTGTTAAAATGAGGAAGGAGTCCTTGGTGATGGTAATAATAGCGCACGAGCTTCATCGTCTATATAAGCGATGCATTATAAATTCTTCTCTGGCAAGAGCTCGATCACTAGCATTTTTCTTTGCATTTCTTCATTCTTTGGTACCTTCTATCCTTATATTTATTTTATTGTTATGAAATTTCTTCCTATCTCTACTTTTTCTTGATGGGGGTTTGTTCTTTGCGGATAAGACTAGGGAAAAGAGTTGAGGATAATGAATTATGGAGGTCTATATTAGAGTCTAAAGGTCTTTATTTGAGTACATCTAAAATTGAGTACATGGAATGTAATTTTAATAATTGTAGATCTAGTGGTGGAGTTGTAACTATAGGCGATCAAATTATTAAAAGGTATAAATGTTTTGGATATCTCAGGTCTATTGTTCAAAATGATGGTGATATAGATGGGGATGTCATTAGTAGAATTCAAGTTTGTTGGTTGAAATAGAGGAATGCATGCGGCCTATCGTGTGATAGAAAAGTTCTTCTTAGGCTTAAAGAAAAATTTTATGAGTTAGTGGTGATACCTGTAATGTTTTATGGTGCAGAATGTTAGCCTTTAAAAGAGAAGCATAAAATTGAGTTAAGTGTTCTTGAGATGAGAATGCTTTAGTGGATGAGCCATACTACTGAAATCAGAAAATACATTTGATAAATTTTCATCCATACTACTGAAATCAGCATCACCATATGAAAGATGTCAACTAATGTAATAATGGAGAGCCATTGTAGTAATCATAATCTTCAAAAATTGATTTCTATGCCTACTAAAACATAATAGCTATAAAAAACTGACGTCTAATTAAATTAAAAGTACTAAGATATTTATAAAATCCATAACATCTTTAGAAATAATACTTCCCACAACAGTTCTGTCGTCACCTTTAGGAAAAGTATATCCACCCTAACAAGACTTCAAATATTTTTGTGTCTAGTTGGCTACTTAGACTTTATTTAGGACAATTTCTTAACTACTTTTGTTGTAAAAAATAAATTAAAGATAATGTTTCTTTGAATGACAACTTTCTCATATTTTGAGAAAAGTTATTTGAAACCCTACATAGATGAGAATGAGATTTTAAACTTAAAAGTAGAAATCTAAAAGTGCTCCAAACAAAGCCTTGGGATGCATCTGAGAGGGACAATTGTTAAATTTTTGTGAAAAAAAAATTAACTTTTTAAAGGCTATTAAGGGTGTTAGAAAATTATTTTTTTTTTCTTGAAATATTTGGACAATAGCTTCATAACAGCAAGCGTACAGTAGCAAACTTTTTAAAAGAAATAAAATAATAATCAAGTAAGATAGTGACTTGGAAAATAAAGCACCAACAAAACAGCTTCAAATAGTTGGAGACTTAACATTTTGGAACACATAAATTCTAACCTAAGCATTTTAAAAATTTTTTTTTTTATTTTAATTCACCATCTTTCGTGTTTTGGATCAGAATGTAAAATGAAATTTATTAATTATTGAATCGTTGAAGTACTTATAAAAAGTTTAGAAACAAAGCACATTAAGTCTCAGATCATGTTTGTGGTTATCATTAACTAACTCAATATTTTGATGCAAATAAAATGTATGATAAATGTTTGTAAAATCTGAAATATATTTAGAATTTCTTAAGTCATAAATAAGGATTGCATATCAATCAATATGCAACTCATTTTTATTTCAGAACTTAAAAAATAGAATGCAAGTATAATGTACTGCAAGATAGAATTTTGGTATGTGAGAAAATAAAAACTCGTTCTGATCTTGGACGCAGTCATTGGAATCCTAAAGCACCACCACGAACACTACCACGCGTGTGCCTGCATTGCGATAAGGCACCACCCGGTTGTGCCAGCAGCCAACTCCGACGTGTCAGCTTAGTTATCCTCATCAAGGTATCCACATTGATTTTTCAATGACTCATTAATAATAGCTCACAAGTTTCATTTACTTGATATTTGAATAATTTAATATTACTTTTGGGGAAGTAAAATATTCTAATTCAAATTTAAACTGAGTGATTACATAAAAAATAGAAAATTAATCAATAATTAAAAAACAAAGAAAGCCATAATTATTTGTAAATACTCCAAAGTTCAAGAAAATGAAAGAGTTAATTTCCAAACATTAATGATCAATCATCTTTGAAGACTTCTAGAGTTAAGGAGTTTTTACTTTGAACCTCATGATGGTCTTCATTTAGAACTTTATGATAAGCCTCCATATAACAATATATTATAATCTACATTACATTCTCTACTTCTAAAGAAATGAAATGAGCCACCAAATTTTAAAAACATTTACCTTCACAAGCTTTCTCCAAAACTAATGCTAAATCGATTTCGCTCAGCTTTACCCTAAACATGTCCCAAACACATAATAAGTCAGGAAATATCAGTCGAATAATTACTTGAATTAATATGGATGAAAGCTTGTGTGCCCAAAATCACTTTATAAAAACTAAAGTCTAATGGTCCGTTTGAGGCAGCTTATTTAGTGTGATGGCGTTTTGAAAACACACCTGGGCTATTTAGATAAACTGTGTTTTGACTGTTTGTGTGTTTTCACACCACACCTATCTAGGTGCAGTGACAACTTTTTGTCTGCGATTTGACTCTTTCAAAAAATAAAAATTTGTAATAGTCACCGTACCTAACTTATCTATAAATTATTTTTAATCAGCTTATCAACAGATTATTTTGCAGCTGCTGCCCCAAACAGACCCTGACGCATGAGATTTCATATACTATGTAGCAAAAATTGTGCTCATTTAATACTTAAAAAACAGATTTTGAATTATTTAATTACTAATTTTAGTTGCCATTTAGATGATAAGAGAGCTTAACAACAAATTAAATCGGTCCATGAAAACATGGGGATAGCCATCTAATAAGTCATTGTAAAGGTATCAAATACAAAATAAATGAATGAAAAATCACATCCCCGAAAAGAAAGCACAGCTAAATTAATCCCATGGAACGATGCACATAAAGGTAATTTATACACAAAATCATCCTCCCAAACCATAAACGGTGTATAAAACATTAATAATTTTAGAACACAGGAAAAGAGAAGAGGGTGGAAGAATTCCAAAGAGCGATCTAACGATCCGAGACTCCAGAACATAATTATCCACACGACACCACAAGACACGAATATTTGCATCCAGCAGTCGTTCAATACCTTTTTATTGTAGGCGATTAATCCTCAAACTCGTGCATGTGGTCCAAAAGGTAATTTGCAGCTAATTCCTCGTTCTTGTTGCAGGCAAAGAAAACCTCCAAAACAAGCGTTCGATTGAAGCCCATTGCTTCGAGCTGACATGAAAATTTTTCTTAGACAATTATCTGCGCTTATGGTACCAGAGAAGAGATGGAGAGGCATTTACATACATACCACACAATTCTTATGTATTAACATATCTAACACCTAAACTTTAATATTTACATTCCTAGCACTCAAATTTTTAACAGCGCATCATAAATACCACTTTCCTTAACTTTTTGGAGGTCATATGCATCTTTTTATGCATAGGTTTAGAAAAACAGGGAGTTATAAATGTAAATATTTAACTTTAGGTGTTAGATATGTAATTCCATAAAAAATGTAGTATTTATTTAAATTTCCCACAAAAAATTGCATGGCATAAACGAAAAGCAGCAAGAGAAAATCAGTCATGCTTCACCTCACCCAATGATTTTATCAAAACAGTATAAATGCAGGCATAAAATGATTGCAAATTAAATAGAAACCGTTCGGCTTTTCTGAATTATGTGGTTTTAAGGGTATTCATCTCCAAATTTTGGACATTATGGGTTCAATTTTCACCGGGCGTTGTTCTAGAAAAGGAATAAGGTGTTTAAAGGCAACATGGCGGTATTCTGAGTGCACTCACTAGACTCACTCTATAAGAAATCCTATGTAGACAATTCACTTTAAAACTTCTAAATACCAGCCATCCTTTGAAGAATTCAGCAGACAAGTCATAATGATAAGAAAAATTTAAATACGTAGCACACAATTCTGATGTATTTGCATGCCTCGCATCTAAACTTTCATATTTACATACATAGCATTTTGGTGCTTCTACACGTATGCATGAAAAGATGTACTTTTAAAAAGTGGTAATAGTGATATTTTTTGTCGGATATTAAAAATTTGAGTGCTAGTTCTGTAAATATGGACCTTTAGGTATGAGAAATGTAAATTAATAAAAATTGTGCACTAAGTATGCAAATGCCTCTAATAATAAACAGATAGCTGGTATAGCAAGCAAAGCAGTGTGGGAATGTGGGAGTTATATTTATGGACATGCTAGAATTACGTGGCCATCCAGGGACAATGGTTAAGGAACCATAACACTGCGTTGTTCCTACTGTTGCTATAAACTCAATGACAAGCAATCAAATCGTGAGGCTACGTTGAGATGATGGTCAGGTCATCAATAATATTAGTGTTTCCTGCACTATTGTATTCATCAGGGACTTAATCTTCCTTTAACTCTGTGTGTCCATAAAGCAATCTTCAACTCATATAATGCCTCATAAGCCGAGTCTTGAAAAGTATGCAAGTTTTCTAAATTGTGTTCAAGTCTATTAAATAAAGCAAATTTCTATGCGTTTCGACAACCATCCTTGAACTTTAAGTCAAAGAATGTTGTACATACTAAACTAAGACATTCAAACTTCCACTGCCTCCAAAAGCATGCAATATTTCTAAATGGGGTGCAACCAATTTTAAATCTAGCCAACATTTCAAAAATCAAATTCATCGTGATATTGTATGTAAGCTATTGCTAGTGTAGCCCTACCCCTATCTGTTAGGGTCATGTAACTTGTACTTCGAGTCCAACCATTTATAGCCTAAACTCAAAAGTCAGACAAGCCTTGAATTTCATGATAAGCAAATACACAATAAGTCTAAAACAACAAGATATTTCATTTTTATATTTGCATAGGGCCACCAATCTCTTATACAAAGAAAATTCATTTTACAATGAAACTCTCGATAATATCAAATTTGCAAAATACAAAAAATGAGTTCAACTTACAGAGCTCGATTCAATTTGTACAAAAAACACAGTTGATAAGGTCAGCAAGGCAATGAATTTTCAAAACAAATTTCAAAGCCATAACACGGATCCAATCCTCTGAAAGTACGAAGATAGAGCCAAGTCAACGAAGTCCACCAAAGTAATAAAATGAAATCATCAAAATACCTCAATGATAGTCGTGATAAATGTAAAGAAAACTTCAAGAAGCTCACAAATTCTATGCAAATCATTTTGGGCCCAAATTCAAATAAAAATACAAAAAATCAAAAATAGCAGGAGTGCTGTAGAAGTTAAGGCATTCAAATAAAATTCAATGCTTTTATGCTGTAAACAATAATCCATCTATCCTTCACAATAATTTATCAAAGGCGACTAGTTTAAATTTGACCTTAAATTACAAAAGGTCAATTTCATATCAGGTTCATATCGTTGATCATTCTCAAAAATCTCAAACCAAGGAGAATGTGACAGGTCATTCATCATGTATTTTTGCCATCAAATGACACTATTAAAAGAAATAGCTATAACTGCTACCCTCTAACTGGGAAGTTCATTGTAGCATGGCACCTCACAACTAGAGCCCACAAGTTCCTCAATAAACCAAATCCCCTGAATAATGAATTATAGAGTGCAGTTGATGAGACACAAAGCCAACTATTAGATAAAGTGGACAAAAAATTGTTGCCTTATGTAAATATTCACCTCAATTCTCACCTCAATTCTACATATCTCATTGGACAAAGCAACTCATGGTACCTGATAAAGATATTCAAGTCATGGCGGGTTTGGCTGCATCCTCTAACTAAGAAGCAGACTTTCTTAGACTAAAAACCAAAAAAGCTACTATTATAAGCATTTAGCATCTATCAATTAGCCTAAATTGAAAATTATCTTTAATCACAAGAAGGGTATGGAGTGCTAACTTAAAATAGATCTTAAGTCCTCAAAAAATAATAATGAAACTTATGGGCAGTGTTCTATCTACAAATTTGACCTAAACACAAATCTAATCAAAGGAGCCCACAAGTTCCTCAATAACCCGAATCCCCTGAATGATGAATTATAGAGCGCAGTTCATGGGACACAAAGCCAACTAATAGATAAAGTGGACAAAAAATTGCCGCCTTAAGTAAATATTCACCTCAAATCTACATATCTCATTGGACAATGCAACTCATGATACCTGATAAAGATATTTAAGTAAAGTTGGGCTGGCTACCTCCTCTAACTAAGAGGCAAACATTTTTAGACTAAAAACCAAACGTTCTACCTATATTCTAAGCTTTTGGCATCTATCAATTAGTCTTAATTGAAAAATATCTCTCATCACCAAAAGGGTTAATTAACCATAGGGGTGGGGTGCTAACTTAAAATAGATCCCAAGTCCTTAAAAAATGAGGATGAAATTTATGGGCAATGTTCTATTTACAAATTTGATCTAGACACAAAACTCATTAAAGGAGCCCACATGTTCCTCAATAACCCATATCCTCTGATTAATGAATTATAGAGTGCAGTTGATTGGACACAAAGCCAACTACTAGATAAAGTGGATAAAAATAGTCGTCTTATGTAAATATTCACCTCAATTCTAGACATCTCATTGGACAATGCAACTCAAGGTAGCTGATAAAGATAATTATGTCAGGTTAACTACCTCCTCTCACTAAGAGGCAAACTTTCTAAGACTAAAAACCAAAAGTGTTACTACTATAATCAAAGAATTTAGCATCTATCAATTAACCTTAATTGAAAATTATCTCTCATCACCACAAGGGTTAATTAACCACAGAGATCCTAAGCCCTCAAAAAAAGAGAAAATTTATGGGTAGTGTTCTATCTACAATTTTAACCAAGACATAAAACTCATTAAAGGATCCCACAAGTTCCTCAATAACCCAAATCCCCTGAATAATGAATTATAGAGTGCAGTTGATGGGACACAAAGCCAACTACTAGGAAAAAGTGGACAAAAATATGTAAATATTAACCTGAATTCTCCATATCTCATTGGATATAGATTATTAAATCAAGTAGGGTTGGCTGCCTCGTCTAACTAAGAGGCAAAGTTTCTTAGACTAAAAAAAAAAACGCTACTACTATATTCTAAGCATTTAGCATCTATTAATTAGCCTTAATTGAAAATTATCTCTCATCACCAAAAGAGTTAATTAACCACAAGGGTGGGGTGCTAACTTAAAATAGATCCTAATTCCTCAAAAAATGAAAAAAGAAATTTATGGTCAATGTTCTATCTACAAATTTAACCTAGACACAATTAAAGATAACTTTTGTTTTGCACTCACAACAGTATGACAAGTTAAATATTGAGAGGTGTTCACGCTTTTAGCTTCAAAATCAAGCATTTTTTACACTGAAAATCATGTTGTGATGTATCCAGAAATTTTCTTGTCCTCGGAAAACCTTTTAATTGGAAGGGACACATTTACTAAGATTAATAGAATAAAGCAAGGGTCAGAAAAGACGTAGAGATGCATACGTCCCAAACTAAAGCCTTGCCACATTGGTTCCATAAGTTGCAGAGATTTTATGCCTGGCCTTTCTCCACAGAAAGAATAAACAAAACACTCCATAAAGAACTCCACTAAAGTTAATAAGCAGGAAAATCAGTATGAGTGCACATGTGCAGGGGCAAGTTGAGAGGAGCAATACTGTCGACAATAGCAGCAGCTATGACAAGTAGCACCAGACTGGTTATTAATGTGCGGTAATGCACTGTAGGCAATATAGACTGGCTTTACCGGCTTCCAACAAATAGCCATAGCGTGAGGCATTCCTACCAATTGGCCTCAACGAACTTTTGCTTTCCATTTAGATATAGACGACAACTCATTTTCGCTCCACTGAGATAGCACAGAAAAAAATTCATCATGGACAAGTCGTCAATAAAGAACACCTTATGTTCTAGCTGTCCAAGGGGAAAAAAAGCTTTGTTCTAAAGCCTAAAATCCTAGCAGTTACGAAAACCATCATTAAAACTAAAAAATTTCTCAACTCGACCGACAAGCTGCAAGATGGAAAGTAATGCGCTAGTACCTTGTTAAATAACTGTAAACTATAGCATGAAGAGATGAAAACTCACTCGCTCAATGGCATCACGCTCCTCAGGCGTAACTGTTAATGCCTGCGGCATTGATGCAGTTAACTGCCCTAGTAAATTGCTTTCTCCTCCCTCTGTCGGCTCATTAATCAATCGAAGAAATTCAGATTGATGCTCTTGAATAAGCCTCATAATCTGTGGATTTTGTCTGCCCAATTCCTGTAGCATTGGCTGTGAGCAAAAGAGAAGAATCTTAAAAATAGAAAAGGAATAAAAAATAGCATGTTTCGTAATAAATAAATAAATAAATAAAACCTGCAGAATTTGGGGATTTGCTTGCACCATGGCTTGTAGTGCTCGGAACTGTCAAGGTAAAAAAAGGCAAAAAACAAATCACAAACTAATATCCCAAGGTTACATAATAATTTATAGTTTAGCTCAGATTTACATCTTACACCACAACCTGAGGGCTATTGCGAAGAAAGTCGAGGCTTCCTGCACCAGGATTAGTTCCCAAGGAAGGCAAACCCTATCAGATGACAATAATAACAGTGCATGTTACCAGTAGTGGAAATCATTATAAAAGGTTGTGCTGGAAAGATAATTAACAGCAGGTATACCTGAGGGAAGAGGTCCAAAGGATTGGCATTGGGACCACTTAACGGAATGGCAGGCTGTGCCGCTGGTGCACCTTGTGCGGGAGGGTTGTTTGTTGCTTGGCCGCCGTCAGGTGATCCAGCAATAGGTGGGACTTCTGCTTGCTCAGGAATACCCTAAGATTATTAACCAAAGAGAAAATTGTCGAAATTAATATATAGAGAGGCAACGTAGATTGATTTTTTGCAAAATAAGCGCCAAGTTGCTATTGATTTTTCTTTGTTTTCTCCCAACTAGAGTATGGTGATCGTTTTATCAAACTAAAAAAATGTTATAAGGATAGGATAAACCTAGACAATCACAGAGAAAATTATACAATAAAAACCAAAACAAATAAAAAAATATGCATTTGCCAAACTATTGGATGCATGTAACATGTTTATGTCCCATATCATGCATCAGGTTATTTTAAGATAATCAGATGAGGTGACTATCACAGTAATGCCTAAAGTTAGAAGCCTCAAGGAAGAACATCAATAGCTCACAAAACATGTCTAGGGTGTCGAGAATAAAAAGCAACTGTAGGATGACCCACACAAGAGCTCTATATTTTATGGGGGTTATGGGGAAAAGCATCCAAACAGGTCATGCACTGCTTGAACCATCTGAAAAACAACCAAGTAGCTCCTCATCTTTTCCCACAATAAAAATGTTTCCATGGAAATGTTGTATGTTTATTCAGATATCAAAATCAAGCATCTGCATCTGCGAAGTATAACACTTTCAAAAATCCTTCGATATCAACAACATTTCCTTGCCGAACAAAATGCTTTCAACACTCTACCCCCTTTCTTGACTTTTTTAAAGCTGGTCACAGCTAAGAAATGGCATAAAATGAGTGGGCATGCCATGATAATGAACTGTGTTTTTCTCAATGTGGCAGCTCTTCAGACTAATCTTTTTGTTTTTCCGACGATGAGAACGTTACTATCGAAAAGGGAGTTGGTATTAGTGGTGATAATGATTATGGAGTCAAGTGCATTACATCCAACTAATGATACATGATTGTCTTCACATTTTGTGTAATTCTCTTGACAATTACATATTTTCCTTTGGGTTCTTGGTATTTTGTGACTAGTACAACTTTAAAATTGATAAAATTATGTGCAATGATTAATATTGAATTCAGTATGTTGTTGAAAATTAAGAAAATTTGATGAAATATTGAAATGTAATAGTACATCAATTTGAATTATTTTTTGTTGATCCTTGAGCTCTTTACATGATACATACTTTTTGACAGAAAATATTGACAATAGATATTGTGATTATAGCACTTACATTAATACATTAAAAGCAATAAATATTTTTTAATGATGTGTCATGTCCGCATATTCGTGCTCTATATCAGCGTTCCTAGTTCATATATATTGGCATGTGAGAGTTGAAAAAAGATGAAACAATTCATCATATATCACTAAAATAATAAATATCAAGACATTTTCTAGTATGTGAAAAATGAATTGAGTTATACTGAATTATATCCTAGTAATTTCATAATGCACAAATAAAAATTATTTTCCTACTCCCCCACTATTTCCTGCCACTTTGACAGGCCAAACTCGAGAAAAATATAGCAAAAATGTGCTTTTTCTCAATATTTAATATCTAGATAAGCATCTAGGAAAGTCCCCATAAAAACACTAAAACCATACAATTTCCCAACTGAATGTAAGAGCATGGAAAAATATATGAAGAAGTTGAAGAAAATTTGCAGCAAACAACATAACCTTCCTCACAAAAGAACATCACTCAGTAAGGGGTTTGAGTTGTTAAGAACTTAGCCCTCTCCACATTAAAAAAGTTTTCAAAAATTCGAAATGGGTACGCCCTCCTTCATACGACTACAAAATATGCAAAAAAAACATCTTATCAAATTGCTATGAAGCCTCCACTAAGCTCGATCACGGGACTAACTCTCCTTAGAACCATGCAAGACTAAACTAATTCTATCAAGCGGTCTAAAGAATAAAAGTGGCCAACTAATTCATCTCAACAATCAAAAGTAGTGTGAGATGCTTCTGGTTATTTTTGCCGTGGTAAAATCATGCTTCTGGTTATTTGTGTTGTGGTAAAATCATTTTTAATCAATTATTTTAGGTTGTTTGTCCATATCAGTAATTGTATCAATTACTAAAGCTAAAAAATTCATTTATCCTTATCGCTATACTTGTCTTTATTTTTATTTTAACGATATATGAAATTATATGCATTATTATGAATTATAAGCCTTTGGCAACCCATCTCGGGATTGATTCCTCCCTTCTAACCACAAGAATTCTTCATGCTTTATTTCTCTCAACTCCAACATACCTTTCTTTGAGACATTCATTCTTCTATTGTCAATCCCCACCTAGTATTTGCATCCCTGATTTTCCCTTTTTAATGGGTTATTTCCTTCTCAACAATCAAGATATCAAAACTTCACCAAAATATTTGCTTTGTTGCCTTTTTATCAATTGATATTGAACCAAACTTCATGATTCTAAGATGTTCAATGCAATGAAAATGTGTGTCAAAGAATCCATGATATGATGAGCTCATGTATTCTTCTTCCACCAAGCTCCAATCTCATAGTCCAAACTCATATCCCTACCCCACATGAAATTCTAGTCCAAATTTTCCACTAACAGTAACATAGGACAAGTTTCCCACTCCTTATATTTGGAAAAATAACATAAGCTAAAAATACTACTACAATACCTGGACCCATGCATTAAACAGCAGCATGCATTCTCTCCATTTGTAAAAGACAAACTTCGATCTTCCTAATTCTATATGCCTACCTGACAGCTATCTTAATCCTTCCCCCACCCCCCTCCCCAAAACTTCTCTAAGTTGAAAATTCAAATCCATATTCAAAACCAGATCCACAAAATCTTCAACTTTCTCTTAAATTTAAATCCATAAACAATTCTAAAATATCCTCAACAAACCTCCCATCAAAATTTAACTCAAAACAACCAAAAGCCATAACTTTTTCTATCAGCTACTTCGAAAGATTATATTTCACATGAACAATTGATCCATTCAAAGAAAAAGGTAAAAATAAAAACCAATCATACAATCAACTCCACTTAAAACTAACCAATCAAGAACATTGTATAACACAAGCAAACCCAATTCAATCGAAAAAGTGCTATCAAAACCTAATCAATCAACCAAACCAACCAAACTCAAATGCTCAACTTATTTAATAGCCCAAATTAAAAAAAATAAATAAATAAATAAACAACTACTAATATCGTTGAGATTTTCTTTCCTGGATTTCAAATTCACCACCTTTTCAAAAAGGTACATTTAAATATATTTATTTGACAATAATTTCTCTAGCTCTGCAATCGAATTGAGGGGCTTTATTTCTTCCTCCAATAACCTTTAAACTCTCTGCAGTAGAGTTCTTCAAAACCCAAAGCAATTGATGCAATGTTAGATGCTTACTTCAAATTATTAGTAATTAGTTTTATGTGCATTAGTATGACTTATTTGGTATTTTGTCAAATATTAAATGTAAAAAGAACATTCATTATTTTGAATATGCATGTAATTATTTCAAATTAAATAAAGTTAGAAAGCCCATAAATTTATGGCAACTATGATAAATAGTAGACCTTGGGATGTCCTACAGATAACTGATCGTGGAATAAAAAAAGATATTCCCTTGGTATCCCATTGATGATAAGCTCTTACCTTTTACTCCTCTCATACGGCTTTCTTCATTTAAGCCTTCTATTTTTTTAAGTAGCTATCATTCAACTCTTATCCAATCACTTCTTTTCTTTAGCTCTTGCATAATTTCTCTACAACAACTTCTTATCTTTTGTATCACAATCAATAATAAAAATTCCATCATGGCCTTCTCTAACATCACTCTGCTTCTCGTCAACGAGGCTTGCAAATGCTAGATAGACATGCAAAGAAAATGGGGTATAGATTCCCAGGTAAATTGAACTATTTACAGAGTACATATGCATCCCCATTTGAAGGCTCCTTTAATCATTAATGTCTCAATGACTCTAATACATATATAGGCAAGATATAGTAGTCCAACATTTTGTGGTATCATTTTGCTTGTTCACGATGCCACACCCCAACCACAGCAAGAATGAAGAGCGCCTGGAATGCAGAAGCGCCCATGAAATACTTCCAAATAAAATGGGAACATTGACAATTAACACTCAACATCACAGTTAAGGCATAAACGTCTTGAACTGCAAAGCTCCAGACCAAAATACTCTTGGAAGGTTTTAATTAGGCATTGTAGAAACACAACAAAGATGCCTATTTTTTGGTTTTAAAGGCCAAATTTCTCAAGAAAGGACAGCATACAAGAAAAGCAACCGAGGAAAGCAATCTTACAGAATACAAATATTCAACAGCTCTTTCAGGGTTATTAAATGCTGCACGCAAAGCACGAACAACAGTGTTTCTATCCCATGTCCCTCCACCAATATCAAGAATCTGTTGGATGGACTGTTCCAAATTGCTGCCAGCAACAAGGTTTGATGCAGCTTGATCATAAGCATTTTCTGTATTACTGTTTCAACAAAATTGAAAAGCAAAAAAAAAAAAAAAAAAAAGGGGGGGGGAAAAATGGGTAAATTAATTGCAGGATTATTAAATAAAATTGGCCAACATAACTCATTCATAAACAATGCCGTTTAGATGAGTACAGCAACCTGCATAAAGTCAGTTGAACATTACAGGACAATTATAACGTCTACAAAAGAGAATGCAAAATATATTACCAAGAAATGGAGTAGCAAGAAGAATAACGCAAATGTCAAAAAGACAAAAAAACAAGAATCTATATAAATCATATCAGAGGTATAAAAATCACATCTCATAAAAAAAATGTCCTGAAATTTAAAAACATAACTAATTCTTGATAAACACTGTATAACTTCTATGCTCCATGGAATGAATGGATGGTGGCATCAGTCATCAGTGCCGCCATCTTGTAGAAAAAAATGTGCAAGAAAACATATTGCAACAGAAGTACTACAAAATTACAAAAAAAGCTGTTAATCAATAAACAATATGTTTGAGAAGGGGGCTTCGTGAATACGAACATTTACAAGTTCGCCCAAGATAAATACCAACTCACCATAACAATAGTGAAATAAATCATAGTTGATGAACCAAAAAATTATAGTGCAAGTAACATATGACAAATAAAAAGATTATGGACAACCCGTTTAAAATTTGCAAAAGGAACAAAATTACAGCTAAAAAGTAAATAGAAAATTCAAGTAGTTAAGCCGAAAAAACAAACAATGCATGAATAATATATTCAGCTAACTTTTTCAAGCATCATGTTGCAATTGTGGAATGCTCACGAAAGAGGTAAGACAGGTTTTCCAGTTTTGCACACATTGATGGGAATACAAAAGAGGAAATAATAAGATATGTATTCTAATGCTCAAAAAATGAGCAGATGCTTGACAACTAGACCTTGTGGCATTTAAATAATAGATGGATCAGCATCACTCGAAAAGCTAAGAATCTTACAATGTAGTAACTGCAGGAGTAGGGGCAGCTGTGGTAGTAGGAATTGTTGAACCCCTGTTTTAAAATAGTAGGTTCAAATAATAGTACAGCAAGAAAAGTACATAGTTGAACCCACCAGAAGTAAATGTGGGGACATTGTTAGCAGAAAGCATACGGCAAAACTAAACACAAAAATAAATATGTAAATTCTAAAAACTTACAAAGTTGGGGCCGTAACAACCGCAGGGCCTTGTGAAAGAGCAGGAGGATTAGCAGCTGCAGAACTAGCAGGCAGAGGCTAGAAAGACAAGCAATTATCGCTATTCAGGATGACTAATACAGTATAATGCTTGCAAATCCCAGAAAAAACAGAATCTTAAAAAGTTAAATGTGTCAATTTACAAAACTTCGAGCAATGGATAAGAACATACCATCTGTAGCTAATAATTTTTCTCTTTGCTAACTAATTAAAGGAGGAAAAAGTAAAATACAGGAAGCAAATAGACGCTAGCGGTAAGAAAAGAGATGGTCTTGCAACTTTCTTGAACTATACCACCAAAAAGTTGCAAATTGAACCAGAAAATATGCAGAATGCAAGTTTCAAAACCTTATTTTCAATTATCTAGTCGAGAAAAAAACAAAGCTTATAAAAAATAAGTGTAAAAATGTTCCAACCAAAACAAAATTTCACATTTTCACAAATTGAGAAGTAATCTCAGTAATTAAGTACACAAATTTGCATAAGTGCATTATGGTCAGTAACACCAATCCAACAGCGAGACAAGTTTTGCGCTTATAAAAAAAAACACTATGAATAATGCAACAAAATGCACCTGCCGTTTTCATTACTACTGATATGATTTTTTATATATTCTTCATGCTTTGATAACAAGGGGCATAATGAATTGAAATTATCCTCGCCTCCCTACCAACAGTCTATGCTTATCACAAATTAAATGGTGGCAATAAGCATCAGAACAGCGCTAGCTTGGGAAAGCAAACAACTTACAGCCTGAATACAATATTTAAAATTGCTGGCTTGCTATCATTTTTAGTGAAAATGGTAACATTTGAGTGCACCAAATAAATAAAGGCTAAATGCCGACACATTAAGAATGCAGACAGTCCATAACACAGTATTCATTAATTTCCTTAATCAAGAATGTTGCAATACCTTAACTAGAATAAGTTTGCAAAATTTACTCTATCAGGTACAGTATATCCTAGTCTGTCCCAATTGTATTGTAAGTTGTTATCCCATGTCCCTTTAACCTTAAATCCATTGGTAAATTGTATTTGCCTTTCCAGTGCCCGCTAAGAAAAATCGTAAATGAATATAAACCGTTTTTGTTCTTCCAAGATATTCCTCAGAAACTCGAAAGCTTCTGGAATAATCGCCAATATAGGCTTATCAAGATTATTTGGGATGGGTTTTAGGAATCCTTAGTTTTCATTCTTTCATTTTTGGTTCTCCTTGAGGTATTAAAACCATTTTCTACCAAAAAAAATACACTTCTATCCATGCAAACGCTAGTCTTAACTTTTTTTTTAATGATACTATCATATTAGTTTATCTACTCTTTATATTTGTGCATATTCTACCTGTTTAGTACATGCCGCACTAAGGATTTATTTCATTCATAGCTATTTACATAATATTGATATATAGAGAAATGCAATGCATCTAGTTCAATGTAATCTTAAAAAGCAATCAATGGTGGTTATAAAATGTTTTTTCTACTTTTAATTAAAATTGAGGTAATAAAAAAACATCCAATTTGCACTGCCTGCTATGATTACAAAATTACTCTAGCATAAGAAATAACATCAAACCAAATAAATCACTAGGAGAGAATATAGCATTGCATCAAACAAAACACCAAGGGGCTGTCCAGTAAACGATTTAGAACAGGGTTTAATCAGGATTTAAACTAAATCCTGCTAATTTTGGACAAGTTAAATCATCGAATTTACTATATCTGAGTTTCGATCAATTTTTGCATAAATCCCGGATTCAGTAAATCGTGATGTTCCGCGGATTTAGTAAATCCAGGAATGCGCAAAGAGAAAAGCTTGTGCCAACAACCCAAATTCCTCAATGGTTTCTAGTGGGAGCGGAGTGGAAAGAGGAGAAAGAAGGGAGTTTCGGTAATCTTTGTATGTTGCAATCCCGCCGTTGCCTTCCTAGCTAGCTATAATCATGACTATACCGTGAAGTTCAATCATGAAGGCGAGGGTTTTGGGCAAAACCGAGAGAGGGGAAGGGACCAAGGCAAGAGTTTCAAGTAGGATAGGAAAGGGAAAGAAAGATAAGTTTGTGATTTCAAATTAATTTTTTTTAAGTTACTCTTAATAATTTTATTGATTAATAATTGATAAAAAAAATTGATATATTATCATAATAATTATAATTAGATAATTTTATATATAACTATTTAATAATTAGTTAATAAAAACAAATCATATATTAAAATTTAAATTATTCAATCAAATTTTAAAGAAAATAAGTTTGTGATTTCAAATTAATTTTTTTAAAATTAATTATTAATAATTTAATTGATTAATAATTTATAAAAAATTGATATATTATCATATTAATTATAATTAGATAAACTTATATACCTATTTGATACTTAATTAATAAAAACTAATGATATATTAAATTAATTTATTTAATCAAATTTTAAATAATTATTAATTAGTAATGATAATTAATTAACTAATTTTTAATTAAATATATTAAAATTTTGCTTACTAAATAGTTAGTTTAATATTTTTTTTAATTAATAATCAATTAATTTAGTGAATAGTTAACTATTACATAATTAGAAATACAAATTAAATTAAATTTAGTTAAATTTAATAATTGATTTCTATATTATCAATGACAATCAAAATTTAATTATATTTCTTTGTTCTTACAAACCTAACAAATTTTTAAATACTGACAAAAGTTACCAAACAATTTTACAGGATTTAACTGAATTATTAAATCCACTGTCAACAAATTTCTTGGATTTAACCATTTCAGATTTACAGGATTTAGTAAATCCAAGAAGTTTCGAAACAGCCCCTAAACCAACAGCCACCGTGTCTACTTTCCACTTTCCTAACTTCATGGGTATTACTTCCTAGAGCGCATCTCATATTGCTATTTCTCACTATAAACCCTTTAATTATCAGACGTCCATTTTAACATTTTCATTGACACGCTAATATACATGAAACCTCATTGGTGTCAAACACTCAAAACCACAAAGCAAGCCTTCTAATCACACTTTCTAAACTTTATCTTTGCAAGTCCCAACAATAATATTTTGGCAGCTTTATATACATACCACTTAATTCCTATGTATTTACATATCTTACACCTAAATTTTTATTTTTATATATACGCCACCTTACCTATGCATGAAAAGGTGTGTTTCACTTTTTAAGAGTTAAAATCATGGTATTATGATGTGATATGAAAGATTAGGGTGTTATTTAATCTTTTCTCACAAAGCAGCTCCAACTCACTTCTCCATTTTAACCACTCATCCTTAATTCTATCATTAATTCTAACAATTATATCCTCATACACATCTCCACACTATATAAAATTTAAACAATGCTTACTCATGACTTGAAACCTGTCGATTTATATATGATTTTATCTTGACTAAAATTTTTCTCGCCCATTAAGTTCTGCATCATATCTTGATCTATGTTTTATCAGGCTTGAGCCCCATATTTAACATTCCCTCCATTGTTCTAAATTTTCACATAAATTTTCACATATTTTACAGAGGTTTCATAATATACCACGTTAAATAACATGACTATTCTTTAGAAACAGCATTACAAATAAAATATATATATTAAAGTTAATGCTTACCCTTGATATAATCCTATCATTACAGTGAGCTCATTGATTAATCCATATTTAATTCTAATGCCCGTAAAGGCTCCAACACCCATATCTGTAAAAGCTTGCAAACATTTACATATTGCTTTCATCTCCCTTCACACAAAGCCAATCCTCAAAGAATTCACTCATATCTTCACAATATCAAAAAAATCATTTAAGGTTTTTTTTGACCTATTCATTTTACATTAATTGTCCTAAATTTAAAAATCACCTCCATAGCATTCTTTTTGGCATAAATCCAATTACATTCCTTCATGAAGAAATAACTTATCCAAGCATATATTTCATAACAACTGCCTAATTTTATTTAATGACGTAAAAGTCTAATCCCACCACATTCTTCAAAATCAAAACAAATATATATATATATATATATATAGCGATTCGGAGATGCTGACGGCGTGGATTCCCTCTCGATGGTCGTACTCCAGTGAAATCTTTCCTTTTCGTTTGGTTTTGGCTTATCCTCCGTTCTCGTCTTCTTTTCTCGCCTCTTCGCTCTCTCAGCGGTTATGGCGAAGATGTATGCATGCGTCACTGCGGGGGTTTCCTCCTCCGGTACTCCTCCGAAGTTTGTGTTTCCCTCTTCTTTTCATGAATCACTAGTTCTTGGCGGGGAATACAATTTTATCAAGTCTCAGGGAAGAAAGGGGGGGAAGTGTGCATTTTTTCTCTCAGACTCTGAGAACTCCATTCTTGCCTCTGCTTGCCGTTTACATCTTGTAGGTATGTTCCTATATGGGCTTCCTAAATATAATTTCTTGCTGAAACATTTTGAACCTTTACATTTATCGGGGGGTTGGAAGATCGGTGCTCTTGACAGCAGGCATATTCTGATCCAACTCTCTAATGAGGATGACTCTGCTAAACTATTTGCACGCAGAACTGTTCATTTTGGTGATGTTTGTATGAAAGTCCTCGAATGGACAACTGAGTTTGATCCTAGGACTGAGCTACCTATTATTCTTGTCTGGCTTCGCCTTCCGGGCTTAAAGATGCATTTGTTCAATCATGAAATTTTGTTTTCTATTGCTGCTATGTATGGTAAGTCATTAATGTTTGATGCCCCTACCTTCAATTTAACAATACCTTCAATGGCTAGAATTTTAATAAAACGTGATGTTATCTTACCTCCTCCGGAGGAGGTTTGGATTAGATCTAATCATACGGGATATTCAAAACCGGTGTTTCTTGAGAAACATCCTCACTACTGCTCGCACTACAGTATGTTCGGCCATGATTCGACACACTGTTTTCACTTGCACCCTGAATTGCGGAAATCCACTTCCGGTCATGTGGCGTCTGTTGAGATCGTGTGGCCTCTGTTGAGCAGAAATCTGCTCTTCTAACTCCTCATTTTGAACCAGTTACTCAGTCCGCTGAAGTTC